AGGAAGTGGAAGGAAAGGAATGTTATTTCTTGGAAGGAGAGTCCCACTCCATATCATCATCAGATAACTGCACTTCATGTGTTTTTTCCCTCTTACCTCCTGAATTTTCTGCTTCTCACTAGCAGATTCTGCTTAGGACTCACTAAATCTTTTTCAATAAAAACCTGTATTTTTTGGGTTCTTCAGAAAGTAATTTCATTTTGTTTACCACCAGAGAGATTAGTTGTATTTTACAGCCAACTTCATTCTAAATTGTATTGTCATTATATTTATTTTGACAGTTGACATTTCAAGGCTTATTTATTGTTTGATTCTGTACAATTTTTTTTTTTTTTTTTTTTTGTGTCCCATCAAATATGAAAAGTCAAAAAAAGCAGCATTTTCAACATATTTTGCTTTTTTATTACCAAAAAGTTAAGAATGTTGTTCAAGCAAGAAAAAAATTGTGTGATATGTATGGAGAAGATGTGTTGACAGAATGACAGTGCCAAAACTGGTTCATAAAATTTTGATATTGAAGATGCAGCATATTCTGGAAGGCAGCTGAAGCTAATGAAGACAAAATAAAGGTATTGGTTTAAGTAAACTGCCAAATAACAACATGAGAAATTGCTAAGAGATTAAATTTGTCAAATTCAATCATTTATGATCACTTGAAACGACTTGGTTTTGTTTCAGAGCTTGATATATGGATTCCACATGTTCTTAAAGAGATTTGCTCCATCGCATTGACATCTGTGATTTGCTTCTTCTCAAATGTCAAGAAAATGATCCATTGTTAAAGCAAACTATAACTGGCCATGTTTATAACAATTTTGAATGCAAGAGATCATGGGAGTAAAAGAGATGAGCCAGTTCAAAGCACTTTGAAAGCTGATATAAAGTGATGCTCTCCGTTTGATGGGATTTTAAGGAATTTTTTCTTTTTTGAGCTTTTAACAGATAATTTCACAATTGATTCAAAAGTATACTGCTGTCAACTGGACAAATTGAGTAATACTATCAGACAGAAAAGGCCAAATTGATCAATGGAAAAGGTGTAGTTTTCCACCATGATAATGCCAGACTTCATACAAGTTTGGTAACTTGTCAGAAGCTGTTACAGTTTGGATGAAATGTGGTACCCCACCCACCATATTTGCCACCCTCAGATTATTACTTGTTCTGGTCTTTACAAAATTTTTTAAATGGTAAAACATTTACTTCAAGTGAAGATGTCAAAAATCACTTGGATCAGTTTTTTGTAAGCAAAGATCAGAACTTTTATGAGCATGGAATAATGCTACTAAGCTAAGAAGCTAAAAACAAACATACTTCTAATATTTTATATATATATATATATATATATATATATATAGTTATGATTGTTAAAGTATCAAAATATAGAAATAAACAGAGTAAATATAGTGTGTCAAAATTTCAATTATTATAAGGAAGAATTACAACTCTTTTCAGCTTCTCTATATACTTTACTTAACACAATTGGAAATTTAGATAACAAAAAATAAAATTTAAATACACATGCGTTTAAAAAATAAAAAACGCAAAAGCCAAATGTGAGACGACAAAAATCACCCAACATTCTAAGTGCCATTATTTTAAACTACTTATCAAATGTCGTAAGAATATACTTTTAAAAATGCATTGAAATAAGTAATAATAATAATCATATGGTTAAATTCCAGATACGTATACCGTCATGGTGGCTCATCTCTGATTCCAGCAAACAAAAGGAAACAGTGGGGACGCACGTTCTAACCTAACCTAACCTATTCTAATAATTTGGTTGGTAATAATTATGGTAATTTATTAGAATAGGTTAGGTTAGGNATTATTTTTTAATAACTAAATAAATATTTTATTGAATTATATATTGACCATTTTGATCAAATACCTTTTACCATCGTTTCTGTTAGTAGCATGATTCCACATTTATAAAAGTTTTGTTGTTTACTTACAAAAAACGGATTCAAATAATTTTTGACATTTTCATTTCAAGTAAATGTCTTACAGTTAAAAGATTTTGTAAAGACTGGAACAAGTAATAATCTGAGGGTGCCTGATCTGGCGAATATGATTGGTGTGATAACACATCCCATCTAAGCTGTAACAGTTTCTGACAAGTTACCAAACTTGTGTGAAATTTGGCATTATCATGGTAAAATACTAAACCTGTTTTGTTGATCAATTCTGGCATTTTCTGTTTGATGATATTACTCAATTTGTTTACTTGATGGCAGTACGCTTTTGAATCAATTGTTAAATTGTCTGGTAAAAGCTCAAAAAAAAAATTTCCTTAAAATCCCACCAAAGAGATCATCTCTCTTTAAGAACATGTGGAACCCATATATTTAGCTTTGAAATGAAACCAATTCGTTTCAAGTAATCATAAATGGTTCAATTTGACAAATTTAATCTCTTAGTGATTTCATGTGTTATTTAGCAGTTTGCTTCAATTGGTACCTTTATTTTGTTTTCATTGGCATCAACTGGCCATCCAGAATGTGGTGCATCTTCAATATTGAAATTTCCAGAATGAAATTTTGTAAACCAGTTTTGGCACTGTCTTTCAACACATCTTCTCCATACATGTACCACAATTTTTTTCTTGCTTGAACAGTATTTTGAGTTTTTGGTAATAAAAAAGCAAAATATGCTGAAAATGTTGCTTTCGATCTTCCATATTTGATGGGACACTGAAAAAAAAATTGTACAGAATCAAACAAAATTTTTTATAAATAAGCCTTTAAATGTCAGCTGTCAAAATATATAATGAAAATGTGGTTTAAAATGAAATTGGCTGGTAAAAATACATCTAATTCCTCTAGTAATAAAAAAACGAAATTACTTTCCAAACAACCCAATAGTATTGCACAGTTTCTTCACTGAACCTTTAATGACGACAAATATTTTTGTCCATTTTCAAGTCAAATGATAGCTTTATAGAATAACTCAGTACAACAGCTGAGATCAAAATGTAATGTACTGTACAATAGATTACAACTTATACATGCATTCTTGTATTATAATTTGAATACAAGAATGCAGGCACAAGTTGTAATCGACTGATAAGCGTTGCTAGTACAAAACCACAACAAATTTTATGTAATATTTAACTAAAGCGTGAAAATATAATGATAACAATTTATTAGGCTTGAGAATATACACATAGGGTATATAATAATTGAAATTCTGTGATGTAAATAAAATTTTAATTAGAATATCTTATTTTCAGCAAAACCAAATTTGAAAACAAACACCATTACTCCGGATAACTCACCATTAGAAAATAAATTAGGAATACAAGAAAATACAGAAAAAATTGAAAATTTTAAGGATTCAAAAGCTGTAACACCTGGTTAGTAATGCTTTAATCTAATTTTAAAGTATTTGAATTTATACTAATGTTGTTTAATCTGTTTTATAGAGGAGAATGATAAAATTAAAAATTTTGTAGACACAAAAATTCCAACAGCTGGTAAGTGAAGCTCTAATTAGATTTTGAAGTTGCTATTTAATCTTTAAAGTTAATGTCTGTATATAACAAATGTAATGTAATTTTTGTAAATATTTTATATATATATATATATATATATATATATATAGTTATGATTGTTAAAGTATCAAAATATAGAAATAAACAGAGTAAATATAGTGTGTCAAAATTTCAATTATTATAAGGAAGAATTACAACTCTTTTCAGCTTCTCTATACACTTTACTTAACACAATTGGAAATTTAGATAACAAAAAATAAAATTTAAATACACATGCGTTTAAAAAATAAAAAACGCAAAAGCCAAATGTGAGACGACAAAAATCACCCAACATTCTAAGTGCCATTATTTTAAACTACTTATCAAATGTCGTAAGAATATACTTTTAAAAATGCATTGAAATGAGTAATAATAATAATCATACGGTTAAATTCCAGATACGTATATACTGCCAAATCCCACACACCATTGCTATGAACACTGAAAATAGCAAGGGTGTGTGGGATTTGGGCAGTGTACTGTCCCCTCACTGTTGCACACCCTCAATACCCACTATTTTAGATTCAGACATAAACCTTCTATCCAACAAAATTTAAATAATTACATCATAATTTATAGTTTACAAGAAATAAGCACAACATATCTTGCCATATTTTTGGTTGCTCAAGTTTTCATACAGACCTCCCTCTAAACTGGACCACATTTAAAGATGTATTCACATGAAAAAAAATTCATTACAGACTAACTTTATTCCATTTATTCACAGTTTAAAAAATAGTCTTAAAATGAAAATATGCCTAATATGAATGCCATCCTTTTAATAAGTAAACTCATCAAAATGAATTCTTTATTCTTAAACATAGCTCTTAATCTTGTTTCTATAAATTTTTATAATCACATTTTTTTTTTAAACTTCTCATATTGAAGGTTTGTAAAAAAGTACATTACATTTCTGGTTACTGTGGGTTATTCTTATAATTTGATTAAAATTAGAAATCAATAATAGTGGCTTTACAAGTATTTTGGCTGACTAATAATACATTTCATTTATTATTATTATTGGTAGTCAATATCTGTAATTTTATATTTTTAAAGCCATGACATAATATTTTTTGTTNTTTTTTTTTTTTTTTCAAAAATCTAAGAAAATTTAATTGATTAAAGATTAAAATATATCTTCAATATTTTAATAAGGATTTTTATAAAATAAATAGAAGAAATAATATTCAAAGTTTATCTAGGCCTATTATATCAGAACAATTTGCTTTCTCATCTTCGAAACAATGTCTTCTGTATATTACGTTGTCCAAAAACACGAGCAATTAATACGAGTAATTTCACACTATCTTTCAAAATTCACTTTACAAAATATTTATATTTCTGTTTTAATAGTTTGAGAATGGTCGGTGCTTAATAGCGTCATTTTACAAATAAGCAATTTACATAAGATTTATTTACTTGTTTTATGTATGATATGGTAAAGTTTCGTAGTTTAGTTATTTACCTTTTTTAAGGCGTATTCAAATTCGGTATTTTCAGGCGGAGATTGTTTCAATTCACACGATAACATAGGAAGACGAGGTACAGCTTCCATTTTGATTTATTAATTAGCGCCCTCTCGTTATATTTCTTATTTTTTTATGTAATTTGTATTCCTTAAAACGTTCCTGTTATCGAAATCTTTCTTACCTCAATTGAAGTTTTTCAAAAGGCAAAAAAAAGTTTCACATATATAAGAGAAATTTATTATTTTTTATTACTAGTCTTATATGTAACATTCTAACAAAAATATTAATATGCAAAATTGGCCGATTATTAAAGCCGATTAATCAGGGAAAAAGCCGATACCGATTAATCGGGAAAATGGCCGATATGGCCGATTATCGATTACTTACCGATTAATCGGTGCATCTTTACTTCTGACTTAATCTCATTTATTCTATATAAATCTATAACACAATAAAAAATTTTGAAATTCTTTACCAAAAGAGATTCAATGTTTAAATGTTCACTTTCATTGTTATAAAGCTCCAGTTCGATTACAAATCGTAAATTGATTTGTTTTCAAGAACATTTGTCAATAATTACGTGAAATATTTCATCTTTGCACACTTTAAATCACTGTATTTATTTATATTTCTCTTAAAAAATTTTGTAATCGTTATGAATTCATTTACTTTTGCATATAGAGAAATTTGAAAAATGTGACCCCTCTGTTTAATGACTAATTAATGATGTTATAATTGGTAAAAACAGATGAATCGAGCATGCTGAACCCACGTGTACGCGTTGTACTGTACATCGTCATATCAATTATTTATCGGAAGTCTAATTGGAAAGCTGAGAGGGAAACATGAAAGGGAAAACATATGTATTTCTACAAAATGTCAAATAATGCATTTTTCAGGTATTTTCATTTGCAGTTTGAAGACTTAAATAAAGTCGGTTTCCCTTTCAGGTATTGGAGAGACGCGTATATTATTTATTATTACGCACCAATAAACAAAATAAACTGTATAACAGGGGTGGCCAACAAGTCGATCGCGAAGCCAATTTTGGTCAATCGCTCACGATATCTTGAATTAAAGTGTTACACTTGTAACCGAACATAACGCTCAAATGCAACTGTAGTGATATTGGATCACTGCATCCTCCTTCAGACCCAGTTTTGTCAGTCCATGTGCTGTCCATTTGTGTACAGTTGTAAAAGAAGAATAAGAAATTTAGAAAAAGAATTGTAAAACCGAAAAAAAGAAAGGCGAGAAGAAGGACAGAGTGGTCGGGACACGGTAGAAAGAGGAAGGGTGAAGTAGTGATAACGTTGTTTCAATTTTCCTTCTTTTTGAAAGTAAGTACCTTTTCTTCATGTTTTAAATTAAATTGTGGCTTTTCTTACCTATTTAAACATAGCATGTATTTCACACCACCCCCTCTCCATTTAGACTATGCCTACGACAACAAGTCGATCGCGACGCATTTTAATATAAAAAGTAGATCTTATGTACACAAAAGTTGGCCACCCCTGCTGTATAATATCTACATAAAGGTATCACTGTTTCTTCTCATTAAAAATATAATCTCTAATTAAGTATTGAATAATACTCAATTGAAGATAAATATTTATATGATGATGCATAAATAAACATTGTTTAGTGTATAATGTAGTTTAATATATAAAACCTGAATACAGTATGAAGCATTGACCCAATTGGGCCAGACACCATTCGGATTATGTGTAAATTACCATTTTTAGCATTGTAAACTCCAAATACACATTCAAATTTAGATTCTGTAAGTTCAACACAGTATATTACAAGAAATGAAACTAAAGAGCATTAACAACAAAGTTACCATTGAAGGGGTTAAAAAGAACATTACGTAAGATATAAATTTTTTTTGGTAGAGGAAATTACATACACAATTTATTCTTACATTCATTGATGATTTAACCATTAATTGCTTGTTTTATTTACATAAGAGTCAATTTTATACATCATTTTGCATTCCTTTGCAGTGCTTAATAATTGTATGAGTGTGGAGAGGAAAAAATAAACAGCGCTGATCATCTGAAAAAAATTTACTCATTTAAATAATTTACATAAACCTTTATATATTTATGATAATTGTCATCACTTATTCTAATTGCAAATTTTTTATTTCCGTAAAAGAAACCAGCGATTGATATTCCAATGACAGATCTCCCGAATCTCTTCATGAAATCCAGCATCTGTTGCAGATAAATTCAAAATTCTCTTCAAATATTTTATTTAATTACGAATATAAATTTTATGAAAATTTATTATAGATACAAAATGAATAAATCTTACCCTTAATTTATAATTAAGAGAAAAGTACGCCATAAAAAATCGATTTATGTCATTAAAATTGCTATAAATCTACATTAAACAATATTCTATTTTGATACTGTAAATGTTAATGAATTTCTTAGTCAAACTATCATTTACTTACCGTCGAAGTGAATTTCGAAAGAGAGAAAGCAAACATGAAACTGACAATGAATAATACTACAGCTATGACCATAATTGACATAAGAAGAAGCAAATCCAGATCCATGAATAAAGGGGCTGATACAAACAGAAGAGGAAAATATACGTAGAATGCGTAAATCGCTGCTAGATACAAATCTCCTGTTTCGTTCATACACTGAATACAATACCACAAATCGCAATGAAGTACAATAATTTCTTCGATGCGAAATTGTACTCCTTGTACGTTAATGAAGGTGAAAGTAGAAATAATATAAAGTAGAAACAATTACCGCAGCTGGCTACATACTGCAAAGTGAATTATGAAGATTAATTGCATCTATTTCGTGTGAAAAATTTAGTTTTATTGTTTTTGATAACCGTATTTGTTAATTGGACTCTTTCTTCTAATTACTGTTTATAAATTTAAAAATGTTTTGTGTTCATAAATATCTTACAGGACCTTCCTAAAATATAAGTTATAACGTGGTTTATGAATTATTTTAATAACAGCGCAAAATTAATATTAAATATNGAAACAATTACCGCAGCTGGCTACATACTGCAAAATGAATTATGAAGATAAATTGCATCTATTTCGTGTGAAAAATTTAGTTTTATTGTTTTTGATAACCGTATTTCTTAATTGGACTCTTTCTTCTAATTACTGTTTATAAATTTAAAAATGTTTTGTGTTCATAAATATCTTATAGGACCTTCCTAAAATATAAGTTATAACGTGGTTTATGAATTATTTTAATAACAGCGCAAAATTAATATTAAATATTTAAATTATCATTTCAGATTTGTTAATTGGACTCTTTCTTCTAATTACTGTTT